TGCTAATATCTCCAAGTTATAAATAACCTAAACTAAAAATTAAAATTACATGATGCTAATATAAAAATATGGATGTAAACRATGAAATAAATATATGTATATATGTAAAATAAAATTAAAATAGAATTATCCTCTACAAAAGGTACAACAGTCAATATCAAATTACCGTTACGAACCCAAAATCAAACTCAAGCTCACTGTAATTATGGCGGGAAAGCATGATAGACACAAATTGTATGTCGATTTCAGGTCAATTTTGATTTTGTCTACATCATTGGAAGGTGTACATACTATATGAATTCTCTAGCGCTTTGCTGATCAAAATTTGAGATGTAAAAAAACCAATCTTGCTCAAATTTGCTCAGTCTGATTTTTTTCACATRAGTAGAACACTATATGAACATTTCAAAAATATATAAACTAGGTTTTGGAAAACATTGTAACAAAGCCAAAAATGCCCTGCGCCCGCATTTGCTATATAAAATCTAGCATAAAAACCATAGGCAGTCGCTTATTAAAATGGTTCTTTGACTACAAAAACCAGCGAATTCTTCGTAATAAAAAACTCTTTTTATGTTTTGGGTATTCTCTAACACCAATAAAATTGTTTTATTGGCTAAAAACATAGATAAACAAGCCTAAATTTACCTTTGAAAGATCTTCTTGTCAGCCGAACTTCCTCTACRAACGGTCCGCCATTGTTGACAGTCAGAGTAGTGCCCAGTCCTCCTCTCCGCATCACGGATCGGCCAATAGATGTATGCCCGTTTCAACGCCCTCCCTCCTCCCGCCCTGGTTATAAGAAGTACATTAGTTCTCCACTAAACTTGTTCCTAGAGATCCCCGCCAAACTAGCTAAAACCGAAGCCATCAAATACCAATACGCCAACCCTTATGTGCTGGAAAGTTCAAATGTACATTAATTAACAATACATTAACAATACGTTAGTTTATTCATTCTATCCATTTGGGCTATCTCATAATTGGGCAGTGGTATTATCCCAAATGGAAATGCTATTAAACTGCCCGATTATGGCCAAACTCATATACTGTTATCTCGTCGTATATATTGTATATTTTTTAGAAGTATTAATTAAATGTAAATCCAACACATTCTCGTAAAGTAAATAATTTATTGCCTTTAGAGCGGTTTTCATCTTTCAAAATTCTACTGCCGGTAGAGTAAAGTAACAATGCACCAAGTTAACTATAATCTGAGTTTGCTGTATTTTCTTATGGTAAAGTTGTCTTCAGTTTACGAAGTAAATCGCAGTTTAAACAAATGAAATTTGCGAAAAAATCAAAATTCTTTAAAAGGATATCAAGAAGTAGATACTTTTTTTATTTTATTGACAAATCAAATGCGTTCTTACTTAAAGCTTAAGCATGGTGCAAAAAGCAAATTTATCAGTCTCAACATGCCGTTGACGTACACTGTGGTTTGAATTGCTTTTCATTCTCCAGGCCGATTGAGACGAATACCAGCACTCAGCTTCAATCAACAACCTCCAACGTGGGAAGCCTGGAAATGAAAGTTTATGAGCTTGCCAGTGAAGTTCAAGGCCCAAAAGGGTTGTAATGAACTGGCTGTTGTCCATACAGCCAATGCTCACTGCTTGTATTTTTACGATTTCTGTTCAACATGTTAAGATCACACTGGTGCCGAGAAAACAGCAAAAATCAAAGGTTGTTTAGTCCTTCGGTTGTCCTTAAGAAGTCACATAGCTAAGCAAAAATCTTCTTCTTAAGAAAAACTTCTTTTAATGACTGTATTTTCGATATGTTGTTATGCTTTACAGATTGAAAAGGAAACCACCTTCCACGATCAATCGCCAAGAAGTCACATTCAAAAGATGTTGATTGCATTTTCCCCCACTGCTTTTCGCTGTAATATCTTCAACTTACTTAAGCAGTTACTTTACAAAGATGCTTTTGACAATTCTAAGTGATCAGTTGGTCTTTTTAAGTCCTTTTTATGGCTTTTTCAGACTTTTTTTACGACTATTGACGGTAAAATCGTTCTTCAGAAAAACATTTTTGAGCCGTGGCTCTTTCTTTTCGCAAGAAGCGGTGAGCTCAACACTCAGATGGATTCCTTGATATAATTGGCTGGAAAATGACATGTCTCTCTCGTGATTGGTTCATATCAGTTGATGTGCAAAATTGTGTAATTTAGAGCTCAAAATCGTGCAATTTATGCTGAAATCACTGCTGCCTGCTGGGAACCAATCAGATTGCAGGATTTGCTTGTGATTTCAAAATGGATGTAATAAAAGATATATACATCATGATAATATTATAAAATACTGACATCAATAGCTCAGTACACGTATAGACATTATCATGATCATTTATTATTATACCACCTAAAAAGTACATATACTTATACTATTCTATGCCTGAGATGTATGATGAAATAATATATATGAAGGAAGAATAAACTACTTTTTATTATATTTTAATATTGTGTTCCCAGAATTTCCCATTGTTAGTGTGATCACATGCAGTCTAATCACAGTGACTGCTTCACTGTGATCACCATGGCTATCATCTGTGATCACACCGTGATCATACATGCGTGATCACGAACATTTGATCACGCATGTGTGATTATGTGATCACGGGTTATTTAGTGTGATCACAGTGTGATCATGCGTCAAAAGTTTTTACACGTGATCACGGTGTGATCACTGATCACATGTGTGATCACAGTTTCATACTGGGGTGAAATATAAAAATATTGGTATAGCTCTGGTTGTTCATAAACCTGGGCACTCTTAAAATAATTAACTTACAATACAAATAAGTATTTAGTGAATTGATATTTTATTCCAGTTCAAGTTTCATATCCCAATGTTTATCATTTGTATATACATGTATTTGATTGCATCAATATTTCAATTATTTAAAATTATTCAAGCTTGTTTATAGACTGAACAATGTCTAGAAATGAGACAGTAATGATGAAAAGGTAAATTTTATGCACCGTGAAAAGATAAAAAAAACTTACTGACGTTTCGGACGCTAGTCCTTCGTCGGAGTAAAAGAGAAAGAGGTGGTAGAAACACCGCCGCAGCTCACAATAGTTTTTAGCTAGTTATATCTTCTAGAAATGAGACTAGGTTTAGTCTCAGGACGTATTTTCAAGATGTTTGCCCCTTATTTCAAGAATAAGATTCTTAAATTAAGCAATTAAAAATCTTGTATTTAGACTGAACAATATCCAGAAACGAGAAACTTGGCCTTGTGTCAGGACGTCGTTTTAATAATTTAAGAGTGAAAACAAACTTTTAGGGTGCTAGCTAGTGTGTGAAAAAGCCATAGGAGTAACAGGTGACATAATCCAGCTGATCACTGATCTCATAATAAGTCTCGATTACTCTTAGCAGATGTAATTAAAAAAATTATATAAAGATTAACAGTCTCTCTATGAAAAAAGGCGTTTCCCCAACAGAAAATCAATGTTTCTAGAAGCCAAGGAATGCTGTCGATATAGTACTGTCGACGTTGTAAGCTCAAACTCGGGCAAAAATATAGATTCAAACAGCTTTTCTAAGCTTAAAAAACTGCTAAATACAAAGGTAGAAAGTTATATAGTAACTCAGACTTATAATTTTGAGTATTTAAGGGATACTTACCGAATAAAATGTCGAAAATTTGAGAGCTTTGCAACTATATTCCCTTACAAACCGCCATTTTTTACGCGCTCAAGTCAGGTGGAAACCGTAAGGCACGATGGGGGAATAGCAGCAAACCACAGGAAACCCAAGCTTAGTTGCTCTTTTTATGCCACGAAAATAATAAGTCTTTTTAAAACACAGCTAAAAATCGTATAAAGTTTACAGAAATGCAACAATGGTCATCTATAATACCATGACTATCTATGTTGCACAATACCATTTTAAAGTTTTGAGTGCAATGCATTTTTTTGTAGGACGAGAATCACGATTTCATATTAGACCTAGGGCGCATTTTTATAACTTTGGGGGTGGGGGGGGGGGGTGTGCCCCATTCCCTCTCCCTCACTACGCAAATGTGGCGCACTGTGCAAACCTGATGAAACCCAAGCTTAGTTGCTCTTTTTATGCCACGAAAATAATAAGTCTTTTTAAAAACACAGCTAAAAATCGTATAAAGTTTACAGAAATGCAACAATGGTCATCTATAATACCATGACTATCTATGTTGCACAATACCATTTTAAAGTTTTGAGTGCAATGCATTTTTTTGTAGGACGAGAATCACGATTTCATATTAGACCTAGGGCGCATTTTTATAACTTTGGGGGTGGGGGGGGGGGGTCTGCCCCATTCCCTCTCCCTCACTACGCAAATGTGGCGCACTGTGCAAACCTGATGAAAGGAATATCCATCTGAGAGGGAAGGGATAGCGGCGATGAGTGGAGGCCCTATTCATATAAGTTACTTCAATAAACAATTCACAATAAAATCAGAAAGAGCTTTATTTGTGATAGGCTATATTCTTAAAAGTGTTCTACACAGCTGCTTAATAGACAGAGTGTTGTGTGACAAGGATTCCCTAGCTGCCTTCAATGCGGTTGCATTTTCGAGACTACTCGAAATTCTGTTCATAAATTAAATGAGACATGATGAGCCTCTTATTTTGCCCTGGGTCAGTGGTCGCTCCCGGCTTCGGGAATACCATACAAAAAGTCGTTTAACCTCATAATACGGATAAAAATATTGATATGATTTTAATGAAAAACATCATATAAATAGATTTATGAAATACATGATATAACTCGCGCACCATTGGCTGGCTACAGTGTTTATATCGGAGGACTGAGATGCGCTCGCGAGACTGAAATCGTTCAAAAATATTGCATAACAGCAATATAAAACGCCTGCGTGTGTCTCTGTACTGTGATATAAGCACTTTGAAGGCTGTAGAGCACTCAGCCACGCCTCGTGTTCCTAAGCTTGATTCTCTCGGACTCTACATCTTCCAGCGTCTTATATCACAGTACATAGACATATGCGCGGGCGTTTTATGTTCCTAAATATATATACAGTACTCGTATATAATTATAGACAAATATATATGATGTTTGTACCGCAAGCTTCGACGATTATGAGAGAATTGATAAAAAATAAATATACAATTTTATGTCGCTTAAAATTTGCTTTTCCTAAGTTCAAATAAACACTGGCAATGATATGGGCGGATCCATCCCGAGTTGGGTGTAAGGGATTCTAAACCCTACCATCCTATAAGAGCTTCAAATACTTTTAAAATGTAAATTTGAAATGTAAGACTCCAGGAATAGCCCATTTGCAACAAACGGTCACGTCTGATATATCACTTTGATAACGAATAGACCCCTTCAATGTGAAGTCAAATGAACTCAATTTAGATGACAAAACAAAATAATTTCAATCTCATCAGAATTGGAAACCTATTGTTATGACCTCCAACTCCAGCTGCATTCCGACGTGCTGCAAGGGGTCAATAGATTCAACCAAAGATCCTTCAAGGAAAACCAACTTTAAATTGCTTTATATCTCTAAATCAAAAGTATCTTGTAAGGAGAAAAAAGTAATTTGAAAAAGGTTTTGGATATGATATTAGTAATCCAGCAAAAGTTATTTGAATAAAGGAAACCCTTTTTTTGCCACCACTCGTCATCACTCGATTACATCTTCGTTTTCTCCCCCTGATTTTCAGACCGTCGGCACGTGAATCTTCAATTTATGTGACATTAACTAAAATAATAAATAACTAATCTAATTTAGGTGACGTCAACTATTCAACGGTTACACTAAATCGACTCTACCAGTCAGCTGTTCATTGAGCTCAAGAAAGGCAAATGGTTTATTTTAAATACGTCTCAATCAAATATGGGTTCCGTCAAAAATATAATATATAAATACGAAAATATGTATTTACATATAGCGATAATAAACTATTATCGCCACAGAAGTTATATTCTTCCGTTGAGAAAAAAGAAAATCCTGGAAACGAGGAATGAATTTGAGTATCTTAAATTAGAGTCTAAAAAAGAACGATGTTTTTCTCTCCACCGTTTCAGAATTCTTACTTTTCGTTCCCGGACTGTGCATACCAACACTGCTGATTGCTATATTTTGCTTCGACGAGACAGAAGATCCTTTCAACAAGCTACTCGTTCGTATCCTTTCTGACATCTGAGAACTGACAGAATTTGACCGTGATCGATTGCGCGCATGCGCAGTAGTCCTTGGTGCATGGAATTTCCCAACACAATCATCTGTTACTGTGGAAGAAGGGACTTCTACGCATGCGTGTACTAATTCAGGATTTTCGGTTAAAATCTGTACAATTCTGTATGGTGTTGGACGGTCCAGGTAGTCGAAGCGCCAACAAAAACGTAACAATGAAGCCCTAGAAAAAGACGGGAAATATAATTAATCAGTAACTTAATGGGATGTGACACGTGATCAAAAATATCGTTTTTCTTGCATATGGCCAATATGCTAAAAATATTTTTTTAAATGTTGTTTGCTCAAGGTGAAACATCAATGCGCGAGTTTGCACGAGCAGCTTGTGTTTATCCCTGAAACTCGTTACTGACAAACAATATCTCAAAATTATAAAATAACAGTTATAAATACGCAAAACGTTTTTCACCGTGTTAACACAACCTGCAAAGTTGCTGGTAATCTCGACTTGTGCCATCCAATTAATCAATTAAAAATAAATCTTTTTGTGCGCAACAGTGCAACCTGACTGCGCGCGAGGGCACCAAGGCCCTATCCTATGTAGAATATCCATATGTTCAAGTGAAGATATTTGTGGAATTTCAAAATTATTTGAAAGGGTTATTTAACTACCCCGTGATTTCTAATGACCATGTTCAACATTCTTCTTGAATAAAAATGACTGGTTGCCGTTCTCATCACATCCAGATGATCTGAGAGAAAATGTTAGCCAATCAGAATCGAGAAATTTGCAAAACTGATGTGTCACTTTTCCTCTTAAAATAATGGATTTCCAGGCCACCAAATGAAAAAAATACAGTTGCTAATAAGAGGTTGACAACAGTGACACAACAATTAATGAGTTTTATAGTTTTATTGCAATGGATGGAAGGTTTTTAATTTTAGATTTTTGTGGTATCAATAAAGAAACCATTATTTGACTCACATGGATTCTGGACTCCTTTCAGGTATCTTTAATCTGTTTCCTTCTTTGACGTAATCAAGCACCTCTTGGTTGGATACCCCTTGATACGGAAAACCACCAAACGTAGCCAACTCCCAAAGTGTTACGCCATACGACCAGACATCAGACTGAGTAGTGAATAGACCCTCTGTTATGGCTTCAGGTGCCATCCATCTGATGGGTAGGGCGGCTATGGTTAACATAACGTTAATTAATTATCTTATAAAAGTGATAGTATTTGACCGAATAAGTTTTCATAAATCCTTATAGTGACTTGCTCCAAGCCGATCTCTCTGAGACTCACAAGTCACGAGCGTTTGACTGGGGGGAGGGGGAAGGGAAGCGAGCGACAAAGTCCAGAGCGTCTGTTCCTGGTTGGGCTGCGGCACGTGACAAATACTTAAAGAAACCTCGTCATCGCTTATTCCCACCGCAAGTACAGCAGTGGCGCAGCTCGAACTGAAAGCATGTGAAGACGCCCCTCGCAGCTGCTACATAGTCCACGCATGACCCCGGAGCACAGCTGTGGCCGGGTTGATTTCGAGAGGCGAAGGATGACAAATACGGAGAGGAAGTTCTAAGCTCTGACAAGTAGAAACACAAGCGGTGAATTCCACCCGAAATAAATTGCAGCAGCTTTCGATTACAATTCACAAAACAAACACCGTGTTCTTTCTTAACTTTGATCACAAATCTCTTTAGACTACTCAAGCTGATGCGCGCGCTTTCATTTAACAAGTAGTCGTTTTGCATGCGGTACGCGCAACTTGCCATCAAATCAGGAAGGAAATAATTCAGAGTCAAATTCATTTCAACCAGATTAGCGGCTATCGCTTGTAGTATTCAAACAGGACGCAAGCCCAAATTTGCAAGTATTTGTAGTCTCGTTTGAAGGCGGCCTATACTGTAGCACTTCTCAAACAAGGCATGAAAGAAGGCATGGTATTATTTTTCTTATACAAATTTCGTTATGATTCTTACAACCAATGGACCAGCTACCACTAACCTTTTCGCTCAAAGCGGTAATAATCTTTCAGGTTTAACTGTCTTGCCAGTCCGAAGTCTCCTATCTTAATGACATTACCAAGACCAACCATGCAGTTGCGAAGAGCAAGATCTCTATCGATTGAATAAAATTATTAAGGTCGAGAAGTCACAAAGGATGTATTTTGTGGACATGAGACCCACATGAGAGATGAGGCGGTAAGCCGTGTGGGATGGGCTCGAAATCATAGAAAAACATGCGTAATAGGTAAATTACGAGCATTGTATGAAACGACTGAAGAAGAAAGCCAATATTTTGTGGACAAGTATTTATTTACAATAAATCCCACTGCGGAAGATCCAAGGGGACCTTCACTCCCTTTGTGAATACCATAACACTATTTAAGCGCAAAATAAGCACCTCTTTAAATTTATTGATATGGTCAAACTTAAAAATGTCCTCCAATTAAATTGTTTATTTGTTTAATATATGTGCAGTTGTGTCCAAGAAGGATGATATTGTTTTTCATCCTTATAGTAATCAATGATGGCTTCCCTTCTCAATATCCTAGATCCACTACTGAAACCGCTCTACAAAAATCCATATGGCAGCCTAATTAGTTGATAAAACAAACGAAAAAGAACAAGATCACCACACCTGTGCACGTATTTCAGTTGCGCAAGGTACTGAAGTCCACGAGCGATATCCAGCGCCATCCTCGTAAGGTTTCCTGGCGTGACTTCCTCTGCCTGTCAGGGGTGGGGAAGGGATTACGTTAGTACATGCGATAAATATATAGTAGGGGAAATGAAATAGATATATACCTCTGGCGTGCCTTGTTGGTTGATTATCCGTCGCCGTGCGAGAAGAAAACTTTTTAAATCACCTTAAAAAAGAATAAGTAATGATGAAAAGGTAAATTATACACCGTGAAAAGATGAAA